ATGTTGCATTCTCGATTCGTTTTAACGCATCAAGTTGAATAAGTCATAGACGCTCAAGGATACGTTCAAGATCGAAAAACGGTTACCTGAGTTTGGTGCAGAACTTTTGATAAAATTTTTATTGCATTTTTCTTCAATAGATTTCAAAATACGTTCTGAAATGAAAAACGTTTGAAAACAACGCGAAGACTGATATAAATGAGACTGTTGAAATTGAAACCTATTCTGAATCAAGTGAAAATTAATTTCAGCTTCAAAAATCGCATATGAACTTATATCAACCGATAGAATGATCCCATTTACCAAGACTCTTATTTCGGTAGTGATTTCCAAGCATTTTATAAATAGTATCTACGATTTATCTTGAGTTTCTACTGTCAAAATTTTACTCACAATACATATTGGACAAAGAAATACTTGATCACGATATTTAGAGATAACGATTCTGCAGATTTTAAAGGTTCTTTAAAACATTAAAAACAGATTCCCATATGCTAAACGATTTTTGACAATAATTTTAGCATTTCTATATTTGAACACTTGACATATGAACAGCATTCTATTAGGAATAAGAGTTCGAGAAAAGCTTTTAACATAAGATTTTCATACCAAATATAGACAAAAATAGCAAAGAGAAATGAGCTCTCTGTTCAGAGTGTGGATGTGGGTGTTAACATTCGAGTCTTCTCTTCACGCAAATACATCTCAAGCTATATACTGTTGGTGCAATCGTTTCGATGTGTTTTATTTATTAACAGTAAAGCTGTTTGCAGATATTTATATAACTCATCAGCATCGATTATCCATTATTTTTCATCAACAGCACAACAGAAATCTTACCGTTTAACAAGTTTGGATTCTTCCAAAGTTCAACGGCAATTACGATTGCAGTTTTTGTTATTGCTGCCAGTTCAGGATTTGTTAGAGTCTCATATTGTGACAACCGTTTCTGCAATCATTGGTACATAGTTCTTTCCCGAAGACCAAACAGTCCCCGTCGACGGAATCGTGATCCATCGCCTGGTTCGACATTTCCATACTTACTATCATCACCGGCGAATTCTGCATCACTTCCTATTGCTTCATCATTTTGAAAATTGTCCGCCATAGTAGCTGCTATAGCTAAAAATATTGCCTTTGCTGGACAATTAAAGCAAATACCGGATTCAAAAAGTCCTCCCTGGAGAATATTGTGAATGAAACTTCCACGCGTTGTATTGAATATAGGAATTAAATTGCTTTCCATCAAACATGACGGTAATATTGTATGCAAGCTCTCCAAAATACAGCAACGTTTCTGTTCACACGAAGTATCAACTACTAGAGTTCCTTGGCAGTCATCAACCGATGAACATTTACCGATAATGGATTGGTTAAATTTTCCATGACACGGTTGACCATTAATATCATAAGAGAACATAATGACGAAAACAAAAAGCAATGTCTGCATGTTTCAAGCCTCAATCACTGTATGTTTATTTCATACTTATGTAGATCGATGATATTTAATTATCTTTGGTAGACAAGACAAATTTATGACATGAAAACATTTTTTTTTCGTGGTCAATCATAAATTATATACGCTGCAATAAATCCTGGCAAACAAGAATGACACTGTTTTATGTGAAGGCGTAAGAATGAATCGCGCCCTTCTTATGATAAAAACAATATAATCGTATCTAGTTTACAGCACAGCCATTAATTGTTGAATTTACCAGCATGTTACCTATAAGCTTTACCTCAACAAAAGACGTCAATGTTTTTTTTTCTCACTAGTATATGGCATATTCACATCAGTGTTGCAACTGATAACAGTAAATGGCCGGTCCGATCTAGGATTCCTTACCGGCCGGTATATCGACCGGTTGAGACAACTTTTCTGGACCGGCCGGTTTAGATCTTTTTCGATTTTTCCATCTTTTTTTTCAAAATATTGATCAAAGAGGTGTTTATTTTTGGATACCGAACTAGTTTTATAGTATCAATGACTATTTCTATCCAGAAGCGTGAATCAGCGTATTTTCATTGAGTTAATATTCATCAAAAAATGATCCTAATATATTTTATAAAATCACTTCGACATCAAGTTATATCATCGAATCAAAATGGAATCACTCTTTATGATTGTAATTTGTTACACAACTACCACGAACAAAATTAACGCAACACGTATTTTTGATAGATATTTTCATTAATGGTCAACCACGAAAAATACCAGTTTTTCAGAAATTTTTTTCGTCTATCGAATTTTGTAGAGCTTGTTTCGCTGGTCATTTTGGTAAAAAAAATATTCAAATTTACTCAATAAATAATAGTATTAGAGTCAAAATACTCAAAACTTCGCACTGTTCGTGACCACTGCTGAGTAGTAGGTGATATTTTTGAGTTCCCTGAGCCAAGGTTCGTTATTTATTGAGTAAATTTGAATATTTTTTACCAAAATGATAGCGAAACGAGTTCTATAAAGTTTTATAGGCGAGAAATATTTCTGAAAAACTTATATTTTTCGTGGTCGACCGTTAATGAAAATACCTATCAAAAATACGTGTTGTGTTAATTTTGTCCGTGATAGTAAGGGTGTGGGTGGGTGTGGTTGTGGGTTGGGTGTGGGTAGGGTGTGCGTGTGAATGTGTATGGATAGATATTAACCACACCCACACCCTTTTAATGCCAAACATACCCTATGGTGATGTAGGACGAATAATACTAACGAAGTTGAAATACAACAGCGGCTTGAAACAACATCTTTTGAAGGTATTTTTCCTCAAACAGCTACTTTCAAAAGATCCGATGCGATTATTGATTTTGCTATAAAACATTCCTCTACTGGGTGGTCTACCGAAGTTGTTAACATAGGTACCTCCGATCATTTTTCTATTTTATTCTCATCTCCATTTGTAACTGAAAAAACCTTTGTCTATCACAAAACCAATTGGAATATCTCTACTTTTTTTCTATCATGTGTCTTTCAATAATGGAATGCATGTGTGTATAATATTGACGAGCAAGACTTCTGCATTGTCTTCTCAAATTTTCTTAAAGCACTATGGGATAGAACCAGTACATACGAGATGTTTGCGAAATATCGACCTCCTTGACCTCCATACTTAGTTGCATTAGCTAGGCAAGTCAATAATATGAGACGGAAATACCGTAGAACACGTTTTCTTACATATCTATATGAATATAAGCAATTAAAATATCAATATCACCATGTTGGATTATTGCATGAACAAGAAAAACGTGAAAAACAATTTACAAATTTATCTGATAATCAAAATATATTGAAGATAGTAAAGCCGACATTTGGGTGTGGGTGGGTGAGTATGGGTGTATGTGAGGGTAGTGGCATTCTCTTCATTCACACCCACACGTCACACTCACACACACCCACACACCCACACACCCATACCCATCCCACATCCACACCCTCACTGGACATAATCGAAACACTGATTATACCAGTGCAGGGTCGATTTTAATTGATTATGGTAGATTTTAATCGCTTCACAATTGATTCTTAATCGATTCCTTATCGATTATTAATCGATTCCTTATCGATTATTAATCGATTAAGAGCGTATGATTTTAATCGATTTTTAATCAATATTTATTTAATCAATTATAATCTGATTTTTCTCGTATTTTTATACATGGGTTATGCTTAAACTTATCACTATCATAACAAGATATCTGCCATATATCAAGAGAATGGTATAATTTAACAAATTAAGATAATAGTAATATTCGAACGTTTTTTTTTTTCTATTTTTCCCACTATAGTAACAAACACGCCGGACGAATTTCATTAAAATAAGTTTTTTTTTCTTTTTCGTTCTGTCCTGCGTTTTATACTACTCTCGATCGCAAACTAAGAAAAGAAAACTATTGGTTGATGATATGAAGAAATCCTTCTTTTCTTTATTGACGTTCCCTTATTCATTTTTTTAAAAATTGTTCGTGTCTGTCTTTTCGATTGTTTTCGTTGGCAGTGCTGCACACATAGAATGATGTTGTTCTCTTGCAATAAAAATATATTATTACAATGGATTATAAAAAGACATCTACACGCAATTGATGTGGACACATTTTTTTCCTTGTTTAATTTTGAGAAGCTTTAGGTATGAAAGACGCTGCATTTTTTTAAACTTTATCTTGAAACAAAAAAACAAAGAACCAAGACAATGTGTCAGACGGTAGATAAAAAACTTACGCGCAAGATGAGCGTGACTCAAGTTTTCGAACCCTTATCGATTCAATCAATAGAATATTTCTTAATTATTTTATCATTTTTAATTTTAGTGATAATTTATCTTCAAATTTCAATTGAATAGTTACAAGAATTTAAATTTCCTTACGAAGTCAATATGACGTGGTTCTTCTTCATTATTTTCTTGTCGTTTCTCTCTGTTACTATCGTCATCATACAACAGACTTCATATGTTTCAGCAAACAATCAAAACAAATTAAAACCTGGTGAATCGTTTTCATTCTTAGATAAACATTGGCAGATTATTGACAATAGTAAAGAGACGAGTACGTTATTTTACAAAAAACTATCTCATTTACAACATAAAAACCGAATATAGACCAATAGAGTAGATACTGGGAAAAAAAATTTTTGCTTTGGCAATTTTTATTTTGTTATTTGATAGAGATTAATGAGTAGTATTGATATGTTTTAGTCGATCAATTACATTGCCCGGGAAATTGGTCACGATTTGGCTATTCATGCTACTTGCTGTCTGATATTTGGTCGACTGCTAAACAAGCCAATGATACGTGTAATCTTTTCCATTTGAATAATTCTCGATTAATATACATTCAACAACCTGTTGAATTGTTTTATGCTGCACATATACTCATTAAAAATAATCTAAACAAGTTAGTTCTCGAAGTCAATCCAGATTTAATGAAAAGTAAGTAACAAGGGAATATTGATGCATCATTATTTCAATCTTAAACTAATTCGATTTTGATTAGATGCAAAGATCGTCAATATGTTATCATCGGATGATGATGATGTTCAATGGGAAGATTTTGGAAAAAAGATTCTTCAAGATAATGTCAAAATCGAAGATATGGATCATTTTCAGAAGCCTTGTCATCAAACAAAATGGAACGTTATTAACGAGGATTCAAATACTTTAATACTTACGGTTGAATTGGGATCGAAGGAATCTATTTGTTCATTAAGCAGTGCGGATTTAAGAGTAGCATATCCACATATATGTCAATATGGTAAGTATAAGTTAATGGTTTTCTCTTTTATTTTCTTATGATCAACTCTAGTACTCGATCGTTGTCTGAATAATATCAAATGTGGTAAACATGGACATTGTGTCAATAATCAAACAGATTTTAATTGTTCATGTTCATTTTTATATGATGGTTTATTTTGCGAAAAATGTAAGAGATATGGAAGATCGTTTATCGATGAATGGCTTGTTTCTTTTAGATTCAAAAAAAGACATACAGATTGTAATAGGTATTATTATTATTGCTATTACTATTTTCGTAACGTTTACACAACCTAGAAAATTCATATTTGATGTTATTAAATCATTTACAGAGTGAGCCTTTGAATCATTCTCGTTATGACAATCATCTAGGAAATTGCTTTAGTCTTTGTCGTCAGCAACCAATAGCACCGCCTGCTCGTGCTCCTTCTCCTCCTCAAACGATAGATGATGAAAACAATCGCACCGCGTCACCTGCAAATGAGACGATAGATTGGTGAGTTTAGACTTTTTATTAAAACATACATATGTAGAAATACATAATCAAGGTCGTCTATGGATGTTCCTCCCGAGAGAGACAAGACTAAGTTCAAATTAACAAAAGCAGAACAACGCGTCCGTAATATCTTTTTGGGTATCTTGACTATTGTTTTTCTTCTGTGTTTCTTCAAATTTCCGCCAATTCATCATGTTAACTTGATTCAACTAAACGACACAAATCTATCTAAGATTGATTCACTTACCGATAATAACGTCCATTTGGTTGGTCAATATAGACGATATACTATTTTTCGAATAGATAATTTCGTTTTCTTATTGGTCTCCGGTTTACTTGTCATTATTTTCTCTATTTTAAACAAACGTGAAAAACGAGATGAAAACGAAGACGACGATCGATCGGGTATTGTGTTTCTCTTTCAAAATTCGTTTCAATAGGAAAATTTTTATTCTAGGCATCGTAGAGCCTATTAAACTACTTCGCATAACTGATCGATATTCAACAACTTGGATTATTGTTATTCAAATGCTTGAAATATTAGGAGTTCTAGAAGAAACAATCATCGATATTGATGAGTCAGCACAGTATGGTGTATTTGCCCAAATTCTCAAACGTGTATTCTTTGTTATTCTTATTGCGTATGTATTCGTTATCTCTCTCTCATATATGTTTATTCTTGATTATTTTAGACTTCGATACTATCCAACACTTGCTTCATTACAATTTCAAAATTTCTTCGTTCGTTTATTGATCGTTATCTATTTCTTGAGTAGTATAACATACATGACCTTTTGGGGAAGTTCAGGTATGCATTGGTTGTTAGTTTTGATAAAAATATTATCATCAACGCAAAAAACTTTACATATTGTATGTATTTTCGATCTGTATTCGATTAGTGAGAAAAAAATTACACATTTTAGGATCTGAGTTCATGGTCGTTTGTACATAGTTTGACTAGAAATATTCTGCATTATATTTTAATTGGATATATCAGTGCAGAATTAATCATGCGTTTATTTTATGATTCAATACATATTGGTTGGAAAAGAGAAAGAAAAATTTCGGACATACCACATAGAACAATCCAGCAATACTCTTTCCGTGCAGATGGCAAGAAAAAATGTTTTATACGAAAGTCAAATAAAAAGACAACAACTGGCGAGAGCAATGATTCTGGAAATGCTAATTTAAATCAACAAGGATGTTGGAATAGGTTTCGAGAATATGCTAGTTCAATCTATGAATGGGACAAACATTTTCGATTTACAACAGTAGCTATTTCTACATATATAGTAGCATTTATTTTTCTTTTCCATTTAACTGGTACTGTTATTCTTCTATATAAAACACCAACAAATAGTTTGATTCGTTGTACAAAACATCTATTTGAGGTTATATTAAATATTGGTATGTTCATTTAAATTTTGTTTAATTGAATTTCTGTTTTTGTTATATAGAAGTCAAAGAATGGTCATTTCAAGGTGAAGTTATAATAAGTGCGATAATTACTATGATAATCTATGGTATTCAATTATTCTTAACAATAAAAAATTATAGAAAATGTATGGGAGATTTATATAATAAGTATTTGGAAGAGCCTGAGTTGTGTAAAAAGCTCAAAAAACGTGAAATTATTCGAAAAAGTACTCAATATCCAAGTTATCTTCTTTTATATTTACTAGGAGGTTTTTTTATTTGTTTTTATTTAATTTTTTTATTCACTGTGACTGTAAAAAATGTTATTTTTACTCACATTGGTTCATCTAAAGGAGCAATTGGATATATTATACCAATTTTAGTTTTATATGGTTTACAAAAAATGATTATTCAATGGATTCATAAAATATTTGATTATTTCGATAAGCGAGAAGAAAGTGACTTGAATTTGAAGCTTAATATATTTGATTCAATTTTATTGTATTTAAAACTTATTTCTGGTAAGATAAGTTTCTTGTTTTCGATAGAGATCTATTCAACAAAGAATGTATTATGTTGATATTATTAGGTTGTTTTATTGGTATTATTGCATCTATTATTCGTTTGAGTTTCAGTGTTCTCGTAAATATTATATTTATGCCTCGATTTGATTATTGTTATCTTGTAGAACCATTGGAAACTCTAGGTAAGTTCATTGAAATGTTAGAAGAATCTTGAATGTTTTATAACAGATGGCCCAGAATAAATGGAACCCTCAGTATTTTTGAGAATATCTGTCTTTTTCTTTTTGATCAAAAGACTTAATTGTTTCTATAAAAAGATGCGTCGTGAAATTCTCTACAAAGTGGCATATTTCAGTCTAGCTAAATAACTTTCATCATTTTTTAAAATAAATTAGAATTGCTTGACAAAATAATGAGCACTTTCAAAATATAACTATTTCTGACTTTTCCCATTGTCGTTTTTTTCGCTATTTCTCAGTAACCTTTGTTGATATTTCATTTTAACTCTGATATTTACCGATTCAGTCCAAGTAGAGAAGTATAAGTAGTTCTGGAGCCTCAATGACTCAAGATTGCTTATCAACTAACATGAAATATTAAGAAAAGTCACTGAGAAATAGCGAATAAGGTGACATTAGGAAAAAGTCGGAAATAGTTATATTTTGAAAGTGCTCATTAATTTGTCAAGCAATTCTAATTCATTTTAAAACATGATGAAAGTTATTTAGCTAGACCGAAATATGCCACGTTGCAGAGAATTCCACGACACATCTTTTCATAAAAACAATTAAGTCTTTGAGTTAAAAAGAAACGGGATATTCCCAATGTACTGAGGGTGCCATTTATTCTGCGCCACCTGTTGGCATTTCAAGAATGATTAAAATCTCTTATCTGACGAGAAGCGAATTTTTCTATTTAAATAGATTAAATATTCATTTGAGAATTTCTAATTTAGATTCGGCACATGAATCGTTTAGAGCATTTCTACGTTTGGAAATACTTTGTACATATCCTCTTATAAATGGTAAGCTAAATAATTACTTAAACGTTTTACTCATATATTTTTCTCTTTATTAGATTTTTCGCCTTCTGTTCGACTGGCTCCTCATGGAGGTATGTATTCGCTGTATAACTGATATTTCGCATTTCAACTTGCATTTTTTTTAATGAAAACTTAACTCAATATCTTTTGGACAACGTTTGCTGAGTATATTTTCAAGATTTTATGCTAGATTTACTTTTCGCTAGCATTGTCTTGATAGACAAAAAAGAGTCAAATTTAGATTTTTCAATTGAGTGCAGGAATGAACGTTTTATGTTTTCATAATAACGAATACAGATAAGATCATACAAGAATTAATGAGACGAGATAGAGCTAGATATAGATGAAAATAGCGTGCGAAAATATTAAATATTAATAAACACGTTATCACGGAAGATGTATGATCGGTTTTGAGCCATTAAACATCGATTATATTTCACATTAGGCTACTAAAATCAAAATGAATTAATCGGTATTTTATTGCTAGGTACATTGGTTAATCGGGAAACGCCTGCCGTAACACAACAGGATGAATCTCGAGATGCTGAAAATAATGGAAATTCCAATGATCGCACTACGCCTACTGAGCAACCATCATTGCTGTCACAAGATAGATCATTACATCGTGTTTATGAAGCAGTATCTACCCATATGACATCGACCGATGATAAAGAGCTTGCCATTGCTTTAGTTGAACATGAACAATAAAGTAACGAAGAATAGTTTGTGGAAATTGCTGAAAAGATCGTCATGTAACATTCTATCACGAACAATGCAATGATTAGCGAACTGACGGAACTAATTGACAGAATTTATTGATCTAATCTTCTTGTAGCCAAATACATCGAAACTAAAATGAAAGCTATTGAGGGTGAGGGTGACTCTAGCTGCCAATATCTAGATTTCACTTCCGCTACGAAGATCCTCAGTTGGCTTTGAAGATTAATAATGATTTAATTCAATTTATAAAATCAAATTAGTTTCTTATGAATAAAAAAATATATAGACATTTTATTCTCACAGAAATATTCTTCAAGCGACATTTTTTTTTCTTATAAAGAAAAAAGATGAACGTATGTTATTTCGTTCTTATCATTTTAGTCTTATATGATGGTTAATGATCAACAAGCGTTATTGTATCAATGTTTTCCAAAGTGTCAGAATCGTCTTCAACAAGAATCATTTCGATTGGTTTGTGAGTCATTTGCTGGCCGTTTGACACTTTTCACATAAAATGATGAAAATGGAAGTATCAATACTTCTCGTTCATGAGGAAAACATGATATATCGCTAATATCAAGTGCTGCTCGTCTGTTATTTTTATTGTGAATTACATAAGTGCAAAGAACGGCAAATTTCTGTTGTTTTTGTTCAGAAAAGAATTCAGCAACTTGTTTGTCTTTTGAGGTAGATAAAAATGAGGTGTTCATTATTCGAGAACCAACAACATACTTGAAAAGATCCGTTTCAGTCATAACCACTCCTTGATAGACAGTACCATTGAATATATATTCGCAGAGTTCCTGACGATAGATAAATAGTGCAACAAAGTCGATCAAACATTTAACTAGTTGATAATCAATAGTGTCATACAATATGAATTCGAAATAGAATAGAACATTAGCTGCTAAATGATAATTGAGAGTTGTGTTGAATGAATTAGAACGTGTGTAAGCTCGTATAAAATGATACATATCATTTTCATGTGCACCTCTTTCAAACAAACTCATCACATCAGAGTTTTCGAAGTATATATGAATATAGTTATAATAGATATTTTTTAATTTTCTGTCATTTGGAATGCGAAGTGGATCATTAATTCGTTGTCGATAGATGTGACTAACTTGTGCAGGATTACTGTAAGCAACAGTCCATTCATGAACATCACCTAAGAAACGCTTTGATCTTTGATCTTTCATCTATTTTCGATTGAGTCATTTTCGAAATGTTCGAATTTGATGATAAATTCCATCGTACATCGGTAAGTGCATTGCGAAGCTTATCTTCAAAATCTGAAGAATCTAAGAAGATCTTTTTTGTG